AATAAAATATAATATAATATAATACAATACAATATAATATAATAAAATAAAGTATGCACAGTCCTCACCCTCCAACTTCTTGGTGACGCGGTTTAAAAGCCATCGTTTTTGCCCCAAAGCTTTCAGTTTCCAGGTGCTGACCCAGGTGCTGGGTGGCTGGGAGAAGGAGGACTCTTGCAGTTTGTGGTCTAGGAGCGTAGCATATCCGAAGCCAGTTGTTTGACTGCCGTAATGAAATGCCTTGGCAAAACTCTTGCCATGCCAGCTTTCCATTTTGGGTCGGGCCGTGTACTCGGATCTTGCAGTCGGGGTCCTACCATGTCGGGCCTGCATACAGGAAGTCAGCGTGTCCCAACCCGAACACCCATTTGTCGGGACGTCACACATGCCTGCCGATGAGAGTGTGCGAAATGAGGGGGTTTGGAGCCCAGCAGGTGCAGCAATAAGCCCGCAAACATGAGCCTTAACCAACTCGCGAGGATCCGATGACGTCCTTGATGCTGGAGAACCGCGAAAAGTATTTGGCGGCACTGCAGGCTCAGCTTTGAGGTTGCCGCTGACTTCTCTTTACTTTTTACTTCCTATTGGCATGGTGGTATGGTATGCGGCAGAGGCATCGGCGGAGATGGAAAGGCATACGGACAAATCTCCACTGTGGCGCGTCTAGATCCTTGCTTTCGGGGCGTGGGTTGTTGTTGGTTAACCCAAACAGGACTGTAAGCCCCCGGCCCAAATTCCTGAACCCTGAATTGTGTGATGCTGATCCCTCAGTCTCGTTCTTACTACCTCAGCCATTTGGGCACTCTAACTGGATAGGCAGGCGGAAAAAGAGGTCCCCCAAAAAAGGAAAAGAACCTTATCCCTGAGGCCTGCCTATTCGAGACTCTACAACCTTACAGCTTCCCGTGCTGGCAGGACCTGACACAGCGGCCGTTTACCGTGTCGTGTCCAGAGAGGCCGAAAGAGCGTACTCCTCAGCAGTCAGCGTTTTAGGGTTCGGGTTTCGAGTTTAGGGGGTTAGGGGTTAGGGCTCAGGGGTTTGAGGATTTGGGAGCTTAGGGGTTTAGTTTGAGGCTGCAGGGTTTAAGCAAGGGTTTACGAAGAGGTTCCTAGAGCAGAAACGTCAGTTCGGGTTCAATTGATTGCAATGCTGTGCCGGGTTTCAGGAGCTTAGGTTCGGGCTTGACTATGCTTCAGGGATTGGCGGTGTCCTCACTCAAAGTTTGGCGCCTTCTAACATCTGTGGGTGTGTCAGTCACCGGTTTAGCATTATCAACCATATCGGATGCTCCGTAGATGATATCTGGCCATTGTGGGGCACGTGCGATTCAAAAGCAACTTTGAATGTTCGCATGACCCAAACCATGCTTCTGTAGACTGGCAAATTACATGTAGCAACCAGTCGCCCAGTTCGGAGCCTTCAACCACGATCTTGATGAGATAGTTGGGTTGATGCCGGGATGTTTTTTTCCACAGTTGTGCTGTGAAAATCAGGCGCGTGAAATATGGTGTGCAGTATAGTCCTGGTCTGAGAGCACGAGCATTAACTGCAGTTGGAGTGTGGCTAGGCTAGGTGCCGTATTTTGCCTGCCCCGTGATCCCAGGTCCAAGTGGCAGTGCCATTTAGATCAGAATGTGGAAAGCCCAGGTGTGTAGTGCACGGCGCGTTGGGGAGTTCAGGTTGCCTTTCGGAGTTCGTCCTTTTGTGGCCTTCGGTCATCTTTCATTTCGACATCGATTTTAGCGATTAGGCGATCAGATCCGAAAGCTGCTCAGGACTTAGGGGTGGAAGGTGCCGGCAGGGTGTCCCTGGGAGGGCGCTTTGGTAAAGGTGCATTCGTTTCAAGACGATCGCTTGGTGTGTCAGATGTCCCGAGCAGCACTCTACTGGTAGCAAGCTCAACGGCTTTCAGCAAATTCCGCAACTGGTCGGAGGTTCTAAGTTGAAAATGGTGTTTGGGACTCTTGAGCGACAGACTGTGGTCCAATCGGTACACTCCTGTTTCGTATCAATGATGAAAAAGGCCACCGCTTTGGAGCAGGTCGGGCCTGATCTACAAAGAGAGTAGTCCCTCCGATTGATTCTGCAGCCTCTACGAGATCATGGCAGGAGGCTGGACAAGCAGTAGACAGATTATATGATGATGGTGAAAGCTGAAAGGAAAAGCATTCTGACTGAGTCGTGCGGATCAGGCCTAAATCCTGGGATGTGCCCAGAAATGCACCCGAACGCCTGCAACGCACACCGTACGATGAGGATGGCTTGGAAGCATGTCGCAAATTCCTAGCAAGATGCTGCTGATAGCGACCGATGAAACCAGGCACTTGTAGTCTCCATATTAAATATCGTATTACTCTCAGCCTTGCTGGGACGTCGTCTGCAGCTCTAGGAGCCTTTGTCTTTCCTTTCTTTATGATATGTGCATGCGAGAGTGCTGAGCGAGTCGTCGCAGTCGTCGCATCTTGGGCCTTCAGCCCGAAAGGCGAACGCAGCACATCCGTCCTCTCGACCGTGATTTTCACTTTTACCTGGCCGAGGTGCTCATGTGCTCCCTCTTCGACCTGCTCTTTGAAGTACTGGGCGTCGCGGCCTCACAGGGGTGAGTTCCAAGGTCTGGGCCCCATGATGGTACTCCACACAGCATAAGCTGCACTATATAAGCAACCCGAAAGTGGAATACCCTCTGGAATGGCCCGTCATGCTGCCCAAATCAAGTGACTGGTGCTTCAATCGGCTGAAAACCCAACCCGCAGTAATTAGAGAACAGCCCGATTTGCACTGCACCTCTAACCTACCCCCTACTGGTAGCTCCTAGACATCCCTAAACCCCCAAGCCCGAAGTCCCAGTATAGCTTCCGAAGGCAGAGCTGCTCCTGCGGGAAGATGTCGGGGAGGACTCCGAGGGGTCGTTGGCTCAACCGGGAGTTGGACAGGGCACAGGATTTTGAGTTAATGTAGGGGCCTTAATAATTAGAATAGGGTTTGGGTATAGTATACTGTACTATACTTATAATAAGGAGCCCCCAAAACCCTATTCTAATTATTAAGGCCCCTACATTAGGGTTTGACTCTGGAGTTTGGGCAGTTCATGTTCCTCCATGCTGGAAAAGCCTGCAGTCGAGAAGCTACAGACGACTAGGATGTAGGGCAGTGGAGCTTCAGAGCCTCCGGAACCTGGATTTGGAGTCTAGGAGGGTTGGAGGCTTGAGGAAGGGGGGGGGCATTGAGTCAGCTTGATTGGGATGCTCAGCATTAGTTTCGTTTCAGATGGCTCAAGATGCCTGGATATGCCTGGATGTGGTTTCAGGAGGGTTTCCCCCAAGCTCCCCAAACACCCTAAACCCCAAGCAAGGCCTGGGCCCAGAGTCGCCCCAAGTCCCGGAACAGAGGCCGGAAGTGCCGCTGATGCGGCGGATGTCTCTGCCCTTGGCCATGGAGCATGCCAAGAAGATGGTGAATGGAGAGCTCGGTCCTTGCCCAGGGTTTCGGGCTTCAGACTGAAGCACCTGTTGTCTTATTGGGATCCAAGTATGAGAAAGTTCGAATGTAGACCTCTGCCGACAGAGTTCTATCCAGATGAGAGAGTGAGTTCCACAATTTGAGGGTCTGCAGTTCTGAGTTTGGAGTGCAGATGCCCCTCGCCGTCGAGGTGCCAAATCTCTGACACCGGAACGTATGCCCTGCTGTATTCCGCAGGGATCCTCAGCGGAGTCGCAGCTCGTGACATTCTGTGCTCTTCTCTTAAAGCTGAGGCAGCCTTCCCGTCAAAGGCCCCACATGCCCGTTGGTACCGAAACACCGCCTTTGAAGTCCTCAGAGTGTTAAGACTATTCAAAAGTCATGCAAAGCCGCAGAGAGCATTGCTCAATATAGCTCGGTGCAGAGCCGGCTGCAGAAAATCTGCCATGCAAGCGCTACAGTATACACCCTACAAGCCCCTAAAAGGGGTTTAGGGTTTAGGGTTTAGGGTGCAGAGCTGGCTGCAGAAAATCTGGGGCCTCAAAGTGAGCGCTCTTCCCAGGTCTTCACCCGCAGCGTGGCCGTGAAGCTGGGCAGATCTAAGGAGGTCAACTACCAGCCCGGGCCCCATATTCTAGAATATTATAGTATAGTATATTAGTATATTATAGCATACATACTATAGTATATCATAAGATCGTATACTGTATTATAATATATTTGTGTATAATATGACATGATGACATATTGTGAATAATTTTGGTATACGAAAAATTATAACATTCGGGCGTTCCGAAGCCAAGTAGCGGCCGTTTGGTGGAGTTTGTAGGAGGTGGTGAGGAGTGTTTTTGGGCTTTCGCACGGCATCTATATGGAAGGGTGTTATTTTTTATTCCTCAGCTGTTGAGCTGTAGATGTCTTCAGGCTATTAGCGCTCAGACTGGCTTTTCGAACTGACCTCAGCGTATTCTCTATCGTCGCCATTTCCTTTGGACACTTCAGGCTTCAGGGTCCGGAATCCTTCACACGCAGTTGCAAGCTCGGAAGTCTGAAGAGCACCTTATGCGTCGGCGTTCTGGTGTTCCATGAGTATTGGCCTCAGGAACAGATTTTTGAATGCACGGCAACCGGAAGTAAGCACAGCCGAGGCATCAGCATACCTTTGGAGAGCTGCTGTTTCAGCTTACACCTGGCGTCGGAGGCCCAGGTATTTTGGGGCATATGCTTTCGAAAAGCAACAAGAATGACCGCGACCGCGGGACGAATATAGCAACGGTGGCAGCAATGCAACTGCAACGGCATCAGTATCAGCATCAGCAGCAACAGCGCCAGCAACAACAACAATCAGAGGGATGTTGATCAGAACAGTACTTGTAGTAGCAACACTGGTAAACACGACAGGCATATAAAATAAAGTAAAAGCGCCTATGCGGATACGCACAACGATCAGATTGATGTTGCTTCCGGGTGAAAGCCGCGAAAATACATACCTGCTTGGACACGTGTCGGAAGCAGACATCTCAAGCGCAGTGCCATAGATTGTCGTCGCGCATATCATGCCATGGAGTCTCTTCAAGTCGAAGAAGACGCTACAAGGGCCGTGAGGGCAGAGCGAAGGACATGGACGCCGATCAAAGTTGCAGTGGCCGTTGGTGTGGTGATCTTTAGCCTGGTTTTCAGCGTCTTCTTGATTGTTTCCCGCATCGTGCGCGGCGGCGGTGGCAACCCACCTCCACACGACGTCTGCGAGGACTTGCCGTACTCCTCAGTGCCTGTACCTGCGATCACAGTCGGCTTTGCCGAACCGGTCGGGGACTGGGAGGCTTGCCCAGTGTCCACGGTCCCTACGCGGAGAGATTTTCCAACCGCAATGTGCCGCAGATACCGCGTGCCACTCGACTATAGCCAGGGACTGGCCGCAGGCAACATCACCGTCATGGTGAAGCGCTCTCGTGCTGCCACAGAAAGCGACGGCCAGCTCTGGATGATGGCAGGAGGCCCTGGTTCGCCTTCGCATTCCGACCTAGGAGCGATTTCAAGTCCTGGAAAGGTGAATTATACGCTGGACCACCGCGGTACTGGATGGTCCACCTTGTTGGATTGCCCAAAAGTCCGCAAGCAGCCTGGTAATTTGCCCTGGGGCAACTCGTGGATGAAGTGGGTAGGTCTTGGCAACGTGTCTGCGGAAACTGTTGATGCCTGCCTGGCCGAAATCGCAGGGGACATTGGCGCGCCCAAGCATTTCACTGCGGCCAATGCCGCGCGAGATCTGGCCTCCATCATCATGGCAATTCAAGCCGAAACAGGAAGCACAGCCGATGTTGGCATCCATGGTTTTTCCTATGGAACCGTTTGGGCGCGACGCTTCCTGGAGCTGCAGGGCCAGGAGTTTCCCGTCATCGTTTCGCATGTCGGCATTGATGGCGTTTGCAGTGGGGACTATGACTACGGGCAATATGCGTTGATGGCAAACAGTGCCGGGCGGCGGCTGTTGGACGAGTACTGCGATGCAGATTGTCGTGGCAAGCTTGGCGCACCTGCCACTGGCTCTCTTGCCGTTTGGTTTGGGGAGGCTGTGAAGGAGATTGACAAAGCCATTACCGATGGTTCAGAGGGCTTCTGTGCTAAATACCTTTGGGAGCGTTTTGCAAAGTCATCCGCTCTTTCAGGGTGGACAGCCAAGGCCTCAATCAAGGAGGCTCTGGGTGCAATAGGCTATATGCATGTTACGTACGGATCAAAAGCAATGACACAGTTTGTCGCGTTCGTTCTCTCCTTGCGACGATGTCTCAGAGATACAACTGCTACTTCTGCGACCATCCCGAGTGATTTCTGGGCAGTTGCTCACAGAATCGACCTTAGCGTTCGCGTTGCGACACGCTACATTGAAACCAATCCGTCCTCCTTTGCCGCGATTCTTCACCACATCGTCGGCTTCGGTGACATGTGGAAGGGACCTTAGTTGTAACCGTAACCTGTAAGCTTCGTCGGGAGAGCAAGCAAACGAACACAAGCAGCATCAACAAAAGCCCCACTGTGTCGCAGCTTGCTTTACCCAAGGAAGGGGCCTCCCGAGCTACACGCATGGGGGTTGAAGGATGCAAGGCATGGCAGCTGCAGTTTGGAATCATGGCGACACTTCTTCGATGAGCAGGTCTTCTGGGCACCGGACTTCGTGACCTTGATGAGCCGATATCAGGATGTGTTCAATAAGCACGGCTATCGCGAGAATTCTGCGCTCGTCCATGGCAGTGGTCGTACTTGGAGTAACGTGACGGTTCTCGTGACCAACGGAGACTTGGATGGGCAGACTCCTTTGCGATTTGCCCGTGCCGCCTATGAAGCTTTGCCAACGTGCAAAGCCAAAGTGGAGCTTCCAACCGGAAGACACTGTGTCTCTACCGATTCGTGTCTCCAGAAAGTGGTTAACGCTTTCTATCGCAGTCCGGCAAGTTCCTGCCCTTCGGGTTCGGTGAATCCGTCAAGTTCCAGTGATCTTGGGCAGGCTCTGGAAGCATTCAATTCAGGCGATTGTAGTGCCAAGAAAGTAGAGACGTGGACAGGCTTGCTGCCTGTAGATGATTGTGGGCTGGAGCATTCCAGCTCCGGTTGTGATAAGAGTTTTGGAGCTGACGGCGATGGAGTTTGCGACATGTGTTTTGAAAAATGCGTCGAGTTGCTGGACAAGGCAAACGTGCCGAACTCAAGATGCGTTTGTGCGGCAGAGGCTGCTCGCTGTGGAGCCAGAGGCAATTGCACAGCCGGAGGGTTTGCATTCTGCTCAAAAGAAGCGTCAAACGCCGGCTGTGACAACGAGGACAAGCTGTGCCAGGATCCAGCACCAATCGTAGCATAGTCCTGTCGCCCAGAATGTGAATGGCCGCCATGCATCTTTGAAATGGCGTTGCAAGACCCGCGCCAGCAGCAGGCGTTGCATGACTTCCTGCAAGTGGCTCAGCCATATGGCTGTTGAAAAAGTTTGCTGGCTCTCTGCAGGCTCTGTCTGCTACATTTCTACAACCCCGCAACCCCTAGCTGCATACGGTACACACCCATGACTGAAAGCCTTAAAGTTCTACCGAGACCGGTGGACGCCTGACTCAACAGCCTTCCTGAGGGCTGTCCCTGCACCCATGCATTTTCCAGCTCCCACTCCGAGGCGAGAAATCATGGCATTCTCAACTCAGTGCTGCACATCCTCGTGCCTGACTGATATTTTGGAGTTAAGGGTTTGACGACTTCTTTTCTGTTCTCGTGGGGCGACCGGGCGAGGGGGTTGGGGGGCAAGGGTGAGGGAGATGGAGTTTGTGGCGCTTGGGGGCTTGGGGCTTGCTGATTCGGCACTTGCAAGTTTGCCCTCGAGTCAGAAGTTTACGATTCCTACTATGCTATCTATGGTGTCATATGCATAGCAGCAGCTAGCTTCAAGCCAGGATAGAATACACTGCCAGAATTATCCCTATGAGAATGCGCTTATTTTCATTAATTAGAGGGTTGTACGAGGATGAGAACGTTGAAACTTCCCACGGCTCGTTAGGGACCGAAAAAGGACACAAGCACACATTTTACGGTGATTTCCCTACATCGTTGGGCTTCATTATAAGGAGATTTTGTATGGGCAATCCCTATCCTGTTTTTGACTTACGTTGTTTTGGTGCAGGAAATCAGAAACTGCTCCCTAAATGCTTCCGAAGCTTGAACCCTCAAATCTGGCAAAGCATGTGAGCATATCAGGGCCTGTATTTTGTCACGTAACTGCCTCGGTCCTAGCATAACTGTAATGCAAGATGAGTATTCCAACCCATGGTAAGAGCAGCCATGGATTCGTATTACTGCTACGATTGCTACTGTCACTAGCCTTCAGGCGCTGAACCCCGAGACGGCCTCGCAGCTGGGTTCTCAGCGTCGAGCGCTTCAACTTCAGGGACTTCGACTCGAGGGTGCTGCCACGGTGCTGCGTGCCTTGGGCTTTCAGGAGCAATGGTTGTGACAAGCCCAAAGAATTACAAAAGGTCGAGGAAATACGCCAACTGCACGTAGTTCTCTTCTTGCTACGGCGCATGCTGCGTTGTATATCGTTCAAGACGCTCTTTAAGGCCACGGCATCAATTAAACAGTAGTTGTGTAGCTCTGCCTTGCCCGCATCTGAATTTAAAATGGCCCTTTGCTCCTTGGATGTGGGAACTGGCAGCAGCAATCTGTCGTTCCTCTTGTTTTTGCAGCTGTGACATGAGTGCTGCAATATGGGATCGAGCCAACAGCTCACACAACTGCACAATGTTTCCACTCCACGGCCGTAAAGGGGGCCGTGGTTTGTGCTAAACCTGTTTTGGCCATCTCCTCAAAGCCGAGGGTACGACCACCTGTCTCCGCCAGGATGCCCCAGCTCACAAAGCCAAAGAAGGTGCGGCTTGTGAAGCAGTGGAAGGCCTGCGCTCCTTTCTGCTGCTAAGTCTGCCAACTACATGGAGGGCATTCCTGTTAGTTAGAGCTCGGGTGCTGTCTGGTTCAGCTTGATGACGCAGGACCGTCGGGAATCTGGCATGAGCCTGGTGCATGTCGCCTACTAGTGGTGCGCAGCCTAAGCGAACTCGTAGCAGGCCAAGCTGAGCCAGATCCAGAAGAGCCTACTCGATGCTGCGTATGGGCCGGCCACCCAGTGGGGACCAAACCCCAAACCTCAAACCCAACACTCACACCCTGAACGCCAGACTCGAAATTCTAAGCTGCAAGACTGATCATGTTATCCACCTGCAACACGAGCTTTTAATCTTACATTCCATTTTTGAAAGTTTCTACATATGATTGCAGCAAGTGGGTAGGTAAGTAAGCAAGCAAGCAAGCAAGCACGCAAGTAAGTAAGTAAGTAGGTAAGCAAGTATGTATGCATCTACGTATGTATGTACGTATGTATGTATGTATGTATGTATGTATGTATGTATGTAGGTATGTAGGTGTGTATGTGTGTATGTGTGTATGTATGTATGTATGTATGTATGTATGTATGTATGTATGTATGTATGTATGTATTTAAGTATATTACTTCGCATGTAGGTGTGCGGGTATGTGCGAACGTCGTATGCATGCATGCGTGCATGCATGCATGTATGCATGTATGTATCTAGAAAGTAGGTATGTAGGTACGTAGGTACGTAGATAGGTAGGTAGGCAGGTAGATAGATAGGTAGATAGGTAGATAGGCATAGCTGTGCATTGTAGGTATGTAGGAAGGTGGGCGGGATGGAGGGTGTGTATGTATGTATGCATGTATGTACATATGTACGTATCGCACTATGCAGACATATTTGAGTTTCGGCTCCCTGTCTGTCTGGTCTGTCCGTCTGATTGCCCGCCTGTACGCCTGTCTGTCTGTCTGTCTGTCCACTGTGGCTGCCTTTGCCTGTCTTCAATTCTTCAATCATGTTCCCATGATTGCATACGCAGATCTGAGGCTGCAACTGCGGTGGCCTCCCCATCCAAAGGACCTTGCTGGGACGGAGTGGCACATGAACCGTTCAAGATTCAAGTCTAGCAGATTTCGGGCTATGCTTCCGAGCAAGGGCACACACTCCGACGGCTTGCTCAGGCCGTTGTCGTAGCCCACACCCGGTACCGAAGAATAACCGAAGAATACAGCATTGTCGTTATCCTGCTGGCCTCTACGAGTCCGCGGCATTGCTGCTCGAGCGGCCTTGGTTGATCAGTGAGGGATGCGCACAGGAGCAGAAGCTCTAAGACGTTCCATGCATTCTGCGGCAGTTTATTTGGACTGCGGACATCTGAGGCACAAGCTCAGCGATGTGCCTACCCGGGGCTTCGTCACCTCGTCGCCGTAGCAAGTAAGATTACCACGGACAGCACAAAAACACAAAAAACACGAGAAGCTCCGTCCCAAAGATCATGAAAGCTGGAGAATCAGCAGAGAGCCAATGATCATGCAAGCTGGAGAATGCGAAGAGAGATATCGTGTGCCTTTCGCTTCTGAGGTCTCTTAACTGTGACACGTAGGCAAAGCCGTAAGACGAAAGCCTGATGCACTAATCGCACATCATGCTCTGCTAGAGTCGCTAGAAGCAGAAGACAGGCCCTTGAGCTCACTGCAGAGGTTTGTCGAATTCACGCACATTGAAGGCTCACATTTTATGAAAGCTTGCAGTTGAGAGTGACATCTGCAGTGCCGCAGCGAATGCTTGACGAAGAGGGTTTGCAAGCCCAGAGAATGCTCAACTCTTGCAGACCTTTCTGGTGCCTGAGCAGGAAGCCAAAACTGAGCCACAGATATTTTGAAAGCTTGAACTGGCTGCGAGAAGAAGACCGAGACTCACAACCCATATCCTTTCAAAGGACTTCTGGGAATTGCCTACGCCCGCCCGAGACCTCGGCTTCAGTTGTCGTGCTCATGCTTTGGTAGGATTGAGGTCTGGGGTTTCGAATTTGGGGTGTTTGCTTTGCTGTCAGACTTCACGGTGCGGGTTGAATGTTTCTGGGACTGCAAGCGCACTCTTTGAGGGGTGTGCATTGATTTCAGGAGCTCAGGCCACTGCAACATGCCTAATGTGGCGCGAGCTCGTCGTGCTTAAGTTTGCCCTGACTCCAGTCCAAAGCTTGTCCTTAGCCGCCTCATGTTTTCGATTTTATCCACAACTTCTTGACGTCGTGGAAGCCTCACGAAGTTGATCGCTCCGTTTATGGAGTCACCATCAACAAGATCACGTCAACACCATCAGCATCAGCAGCTGCATCACCGTTCCCAATATACCCACCATCCTTTTTTTAATGTCACTTTCAGCATTGTCCTCATCCACCCTCGAGATAAGCTCCCGCATCAATATGCTCAAGATCAACAGTTTCTTCATAAACCTCAGGATCATAATCGTATTTGTCATCATTATCACCACCACTATGATCACGCCACCATCGCGGTACCGGCAAAGTGTTACTATCAGGCTTTGCCGATAAGCCAGTTGCGCGGCGCAACAGGGATCTATCTATTATTTGCAAAGGATAGTCCAGAGCCCTGTTGCTCGCACATAATCATAGCACACATGTTCAGCTTTGTCAATACTGCAACGTAATTCCGCCAATCCGCTATCTCAAACGTAACCGAAGCAACAGAAGCCATCAACGCTTAGTCGCAATATTGTCTTGATGCGGAGGGCTTATCCTTTCCTTTCGTGTTGTGAACCGGCCGATGTATACTGTTGCCTATCTATAACTACATATATATGTATATACTGTGTATACATACCCGCATGTAAAGTAATCATGACGGAATATGTGTATATGTTTGCGTAGAAAACAGTATACAGACAGTCATACGCGCATCAGGATATCCGTATACATATATGTACATATAGCATTCACATGCACTTAGAGATTGACGGGTGTTTTCGGGCATGCCACACACATGTACACATACACATCAAAACAGACACACACACACACACACGTGTCTGTAGCCTCTACATGCACATAAGAAGATGTCGTCGCTGGTGCATTTTTGCCATGTCTGTTCATTTGTCCATGTAGATCTGTTTGGCTATCTATTTGTCTATCTATTTCATCTATGCTGACACACTAAGCCCTAAGCCCCAACTCCTAAACCCAAAGCCCCTAAACCTAAGCCCCCTAAACCCTAAACCCTAAACCCTAAACCCTAAACCCCTAAACCCTAAACCCCTAAACCTAAGCCCCTAAACCCCTAAGCCACCAGTTTCGAGGTCTCCCAGCCTAAGCCATGCCCAGGTCCACTGCGAAACAGCCAACATCTACCTAGAACTGCCGCCCAGCTCTTTGGGAGGCCCGGGGAAAGCAGTCGGTTCGCAAGATTCTCGGTGTTTGGGAAGTATCATTTAGGTCGAAATACTTCGTAAACGTATCACCTTTTGTTGGTCCCTGTTACTCTAAGTATTACCCCCTGCATTACTTTTCTGGTGGAGTGAGGTTGCGGGTTCAACATGATGAAGCATGAGTTGCAGCTGCTGCCGTGTTTTGTTTCCTGATTTCATGCTACAGAGATCCAGCAATGTTTTCAAGCTTTCTTGATGGAAGCAGTCTGCCAATGTAGTTGAACTTCAGCATAAAGGACACTACAGCCTTAAATCGCCACCAGTGGCCCTGTGAGTCTGGTGCCTCGAAGAAGAGGTCTGAACCCCCAGCGCCTTTTCAACCTCAAGGGCGCCAAAGCGGCACTCGGCCGCAGGCAATGATGAGCATATCTGTCGAGTTGATTTGGGGTTTTTGGACCGGCTTTGAGGCCTGATGTTGCGATTTTGGAGTTCAAGGTATGCATATAGCCTGCCTTCGGTTGTAGGCAGCGTTTTGCGGCGTTTCTGCTGCAGGCTGAGGATATATGATGAGGTGCCAAAGCTCAAGATGAAGTTGTTTCGTGGTAGGTTCATGGGTAACCACTTTTGCACGCAGGTGTGCGAGAGTGTATGTATGTATGTATGTATGTATGTATGTATGTATGTATGTATGTGTGTATGTGTGTATGTGTGTATGTGTGTGTGTGCGGATTTACGTAGGTATGTCTGCGGGTAGAGGGTGTGTAGGTCGGCAGGCAGGTAGGTCAATAGGTAGTGGTAGGTAGGTAGGTAGGTAGGTAGGTAGGTAGGTAGGTAGGTAGGTAGATAGGTATGTAGGTAAGTAGCACGTGCAATTGAAATTGATAAGGCACTGTTAGACGATAACCTGTCGGACTGTGCATGCCTTTGCAATGTCTTCTTGATATAACTTTATGAATAAAACCAAATGCATGAATCAACATATATGTTCATAATATACGTACAGTATATGTACATTAACTATGTATCTCTGTGTGTGTATGTGTATCATATATTATCAGGTATGGGTGTGTAAGCTTGCATTTTTGCATACACATAAAAGGTGTCCAAGGTGTGCACTCATCCGGTGACTTTCTGCACGTAGTCTTGATTCCATGCTTTGTTGATTCAGATATTTGCTCTCTGATACGTTAAGCACCAGAGGACATAATCACCCTGCTGCGCCGTATCAAACATCGTTTTCAGGTACTCTCCGGTTGCCAGGTGAAATAGAGTTGAGAAGTCGCGAGGGTGCCCGAATTGCGACCAGAGCTTTCGGTTCGCCGCCTAGGGCTTCCATAGACCCTACATCCGAAAGCCGCCGACCAAGTCGATCTCGTCTAGGCTGTTCCCCCAGCCCGCATGGCTTTCTGTACTGATCGGAGAGAGTTGGGCACCTGAAGAAGGAACCCAAGCCGTAATGGATGCAGGACAGGGTTTCGGGTGTGGGCCGTATAGTCTTGCAGACGGGATCCACTTCAGGCTCAAGTGCTCAAGCAGGGCCACACGTCTGGAGAAGAGGGGAAATGCACAGCTTCAAAGCTTGGGAGAGGCATAGTACTCGTACCGGGTAAGGATGGTATTAAGGTTCTGAGCCAACTTCGAGCCCCAAGCCCCCAAGCCGAAGCTCTGGGCGCAGCTTTGTTTTGAACGCCGCAAGTTGTGACATCTGGCAGGCCTGTAAACGTGGGATTGGGCTGCTTGCCTCAGATGGTCGCATCACCTGCTCGCCGAAGATGCTCTGTCCATATATGGAGCACAGAGTTCAGCCCGTGCATTGTTCACCAATGGAGTGTCATTGTATAATTTTTCAGCATTCCTACCGCAAGCGAGGCTGCTCGTGGCGGCCCCTGAGTACATCCAAGCTGCACAGCGCATCCGGCTCAGCAGTTAGCACCGTCATTGAGAGTTTTCTTGTTAAGCTTGACTAGGTCCTAGGTGGCTGGAGCCGATTGTTAAGATGCTGTCTGCAGGATCTGCAGAGTTCGGGTTTCTTGCTGCAGGGAAACTTGCTTACGATTTTAGACTCTAAAATCAGGGTCCTGCATGTCAGGTCCTGCTGCGACAAACCACCTCAAGCAGAGTTTGAAAGTCTTCTGAAGGCTCTGCATGAAGCCAGCGCTGCCAGCAACTTCTGCGAGGGGTTTCTCAACAAGTCGATGGTCGTACTGTCTGTACCCGTATACATAGTAGATTGTAGAGCCTTGATGGTACCCTCATACAACCAGTATAATATACAGTATAGTTCCCGCATGGTACCTTGAACCCATAAGCCCAGCGCCGAAGGTCAGTGAACAGGACCTGGAGGCTTTTGCCTCTAGGCCGCTTCGAGCCCTCGTGGACAAGCGGCTCAGTGACGCGCTTGAGGGAGCCGTCTCGGATTTACGTAGTCTCAGTGGGCAGGTAGAATATTCGCTCAGAAGGCCTTGCGAAGTTTGTACGCTAAGCCGCAAAATCCATTTTCGGTGCTCAGGGGTAAGTCGTTTAATAAAGACCATTTCGATGCAGGTCTCGAAGGCCTCTGCAGGTCAACCAGAATCATACTCGAAAGTATCAGGCGGTCCAAAGTGGCATCGTGCCTGGGGTACATGCCTCATTGGCTTTTTCTAGGGTGTTCTACCTCGATCAAGGCATGGATGCTATCCAGGAAGACGGGTGCATTGGAAGGGGCAGAGCGGTGCGATTCGAATCTTCCAGTTGACATCCTGAACCCAGTTCGACAGGGTAGGAGGTCGTGTGGAAGCTAAAGACATCGGAACATGTTGAAGCGGCACATTGGGCAGCCACTGCAATGCAGAGAATTGTGTGTATAGAACCATATAGAGCTGTACATGTGTATATATATATATATACATATGTGCATCCTGCAATGTGCAGCTTGATTATAGCTAAAGCTGTATACACAGTTAAAGATGTGTACACTCCAGCTGCAACCCTGCGATTTGGCAAGCTTTCACACCATGCCAGTGTAAATTGGATGTGGCAACTGATAAGCAGTGCGACGACAACCGCAACGCAAGCAAATCCGGGAATTTCACAGTTCTGATTGCCCCTTGCCTCGGAAACGCCTACGTCGGCCTATGCCCTCAAAGTCCCTGCAACCTTGGCGTTCCAGCCCAAGTCCCCATAGCCTACAACACAAGCCTGAACCCAAAGCTGCTTGAAACTCGTAGACACGTGCCAGGCATCTTCGCTTTGACGGGCCCGCGGAGGAGGTGAGCGGTCAAGAAGCCCCCGTTGATTCCAGATTCGAGAGGTTGGAGAAGGAAGAGACCGAAGTTTCCTTTGCGGGTGCCTTGAGGTGATCCGGGATGCAAGTGCACAGACTTTTTGAATGGCTGAAGTGAATGTTTTGTAGAGTTTTTTCCTGGGGGCTCTGGATCCCAATCCAAGCCTTTTCCGACGCTTGTGAGGCGGCTGCGGACATGCCTTTCAATTTGGATGCCCACCCGGCCATGCAACAGACGGTGCCTCCAAGGGCTTCGCAGCTCTAGGCTTCTGGGTCAACCAGGCATTACGGGTCAGTTGAATAAAAACAGTTTCGTTCGCTGCAAACGAACGCCTGGCAGCTTACGATATTTTGCGCAGTCGGCTTGCCAGGCTGTCGACCTGTTCGAGTTACAGGGATGTCGTGCATGGTTATACTTGGCCGATCTCGTGCTTTGTGTCTGGACCTGCTTAGACCCCCGTGTCAAGCACCAGTCAGCAGCGTCGGCTTTGTCCAAACGTCTCCAGCCAGCTTGCAATCCCAAGCCGAGCATTTCTTGACATTGAAGAGTTATTCCCATGACCTGACTGTTGACGCACTGCATAATTTTGACAAGCCTAAGCTTGCAACCTTGACTTGACAACCGCAGTTATCCCGGCCGAGCACCCCTCAAGAGGAGGAGTGCTTCTGAAGAGCCTCCAAATGCTGACCAACACGAGAGCCTAACTGAAGCTGGACCAGGTGGCTCGAGCGATGATGGGCCGCTTGTCGAAGGAGATGAGGAACTATGCCAAGATGCATAATCAAAGGCCGAGTGATGATGTGGGTTCGAAGTCGTTGAGGAGGGCCATCCATTGGGTTTTGGATTTCTTGGACATACACTGGCTTTTGCCCTCTCAGCTCGCCTTTTGACGTCATTTTTGACAGGTCGCACTTTTTTGCAGCACATGGGATTGTGTGGAGAAGCGCGTCCCCGCTGGACTGGCCTGCAAACCCTGAACCCCGCACACCCTTGACACAGTTCCCACAAGGCGACCAGCCACAATGCCACAGCCAGGAAGATGCCAAAGCTGACTGAGATGGACATCGATGGCATTGTGGCAGGGGGCAAGGAGCAAGGTCCTTGGCGAAGATCCGGATACGGCATGATTTGTAAATGCCGTCATGGAAAACTTCTTGTTTGCGTTTGTCACATGTTTGCGCCGGCATGTTGCTTACATATCGCAGATACACATATTTGCAAGATTTGAGGCCTTTGGAGAAGGCGAAAGCGCAGCTGCACGACCTCTTCGCAGGCTCAGTCTCGCTTTGGCATGCACAGTTGGTCAGTATTTCAAGGGCAGATGCCCGACTCCAGGATTCAAACCATGTGTTAGTGCGCTGGGCCGTCGGCCATCGGGTGGACAAAGTGCCGCAGTGTCAGTAGATCATTAGAGATGATCCATGCCAAGCAGTGCACTGCACAAAGACCACGGGATAAGCCGATGTCGTTCGCTAGGCCTTTGTGACATCAAGCAGCAAGACGAAATGTTCGCAAGGGCCTCGTCGAGTTGCCGGCTGTTCAACAGATCCTGGTCGAAGCCAGCACATAGCGAAAGTAATGCTGTTCCGCGATGTTCTTGCGAGGTCAGCACGACCATCGAGCGCGTTTTGGGGGCGGTGGACGCATGCAGCAACTCCGGCGAAGCCAAGGACTATCCCACGGAAAGGCTGCACAGCCCTCAGAGTTGATGAGAAGTGCAAGCAATCCAGGCCTGAGTTGTTCGACTTTAGTGTGCCCAGCGATGCAGGCATTTCTGGCTGCTGCGATATGCTGGGCATGAAACAGAAATGTGGTTCCAGCTCCTGTGTGCCCTGGATGCTTTTGGTCGAGGGGTCTGGCATGATTCATGGGTTTGCAGTCGATTGCTGTGATTTCATTTTCTTTGCTTCTTTGTTGATGGTCGAGGGGGATGATGTGAGCGAATCTGCTGAAGCATCCGGAACACGCGGTCCATACACAGAAACGGACAGACATACACACGATGCAATGGCCTCCATCTGTTCATACAGTACATCTACATGCCCACCGCCACAGTGTACAGTGGATGCAGTGTGGCGTCTGCGCGCGCACGCGTTCCAGCATCTCATCAGCCAACCCGGCCAAACAGGTCTTGCCCCTGTAATCTCATGAGAATCTCACCCGGCCGCGGACCCCTGAGGTCGGACCTTGCTCAGCCCCGACTGCATGACAGATTTCAAGCGCTTCAACCCATTTCTGACCGAGGCGGCGGGATTTTCGAATTACGGTCTGCCTTGGGCCTTGAGTAAACTTCCGGAGGTTCTCAAGGCAGAAGCCGGAGAGTTGGGGTCCAGACTTTCGATTTCGCTTTATATGGAGGCTTGAGCTGTTCGAGGCATCGTAGGTGTCCTAAAACGCAGTCAGACACGGAATCATTCGATGTGCCCGAGAATACTCGCATCCTTCGGGTAAACCTCCCACTTCGGAGCACCTTGCAGCCTTGCAGTTTGGCTAAATATCCTTTGTCTTCGCTTCCATCCAGCTGGAGGCTGGAACCCATATCCCTGAAACGAGCACTTTCCGAAAACTTCCCTTGAACAGAATCCCATAGCTAGAACTCGAACCAAGCTCCAGGAAACTATAGTCTTTTGCAGCATTCCCTCCTCTGTGGCAGGCTGACGTTCACGAGCACGGGTGCCAAGAATTTGCGACTGCTAGTGCTACTGCTACTATTGCTACTGTCACTGCTACTGGTACAACATTCACGACGAGTTTTGCGAAGTCGGGTTTGAGATTTACTGTGCCTTCAAGACTAATGAATGCCCTCCTGCAATCGTTGGAATTTATAAGTGGCCTACCACCGGCTCTTTTCTATCCTCCTACCGAATCTCTGCGCCCGGAGGCTCACGCTGCATTGATGAAGTAAAGCACCCCCCCAGAGAAGCAGTCCGGACGTCTAGATCGCTAAACGCTCACATCGCAAGAGACTCTTCGATTCAACACATACAGTACATAAAGAGGCAGAAGACCCGAGGACTTGACTATCCAAGCCCAAGGCTGTTAGCAGCGCTGTCGCAGATGATGTTTGCGACGTCACGGCGCCAACAAGTGTGTCGGGCAGAGCTCTCAGTGTTGGAAGATCCCGCGACGAAAACATATGACATGTTGCAACTACTGGAGGCCATGGACCACTGCCGCAATTTGATGGATCTGCTGGACCGCGATAATGTCCGCTTCTGAGCACTCCCGATTAACGCAGCTTGCACATTCATGTGCAGTTTGTACTTATGGCTTAGGGCGTGCAGTTCCTTTGCCATGCACAGAGGGTAGCTCGCTTACAGTGACTTTGCACCCCTATCAACCCAGCTTTTTCCAACAGTCTTCTCAGACAGAGTTCAGTCCCATGCCCACGGAGCCAGGTGTCAAGCTCGGCTGTGGCACTCAAGGCTGGCTTGACAGAGAAGCGCGCCTCTCAGACAATAGATCAGTACGCCATTAAGGCAGGTGCAACCCCCATACTCTCACTGCAGAGGTGATGCTATAGTTGCTGGCACAAGCACCATCAGCCCCCAGCAGAAATGCGCTGCAGAGGAATTCATAGTTGTATCTAGTTCTGCATGTTTTCCAAACGAGGTGCGCAAGTAGATCGTTTGCCGGAGATTCCGGAACCTTACACACAAAAGCCAAAGCTCCAAGATGTTCATGATAACATGGCCCATTCAGGAGCTCCCTGCTTTGCAGCTCCATCGCGGCAGAGCGCCTGGGGCCTAGATCTCTCTCATGATCTGCGAACGAAGCTTGAGAGGTTCCGGGAAGATGGATACGAGAGTGCAGCCCCAAACCCCGGAAGTCCTGGACATGAGGGCGATGGATTGGTGAGAAAGGACAAACAAGGCTGAATTCACGGTCTTCAAGCCTCAACCACTAAATCGCCACCGATACTGCGAATCGTGGAGTTTTCCAGCAGGTGTACGTTCCATCCTCGCTTGGCGTTGCAGGAAGTACTGCCACTTGAAGGTTCCAAGGTCACAGAGTCCCAAGATGTGAGTGCAGACCACATGCCATCAATCGCCAGCATGCAGTAAGCGCGAGAAGGGGCGAACAAGCAGGCATCTACATCTCGGAGAAGAATGGCCAGAAAGGCCAGTTGCCCTTTCGAGAAGAAATATGCTCTGGAAGATGCTGTTACTGGCTGTTACTGCTGCGGCGACCATCATGACTGCAACCACAACCGCAGCTACACCAACAACAACAGCTACTGTTGCTGCTCCTGCTCCCGTTATTCCTAATTACTCCTAGCAGTGGTAGTAGTAGTAGCAGCCGTCGTCGTAGTCGTTGAAATAGTCGTGGCACTACTAGCGGCAGTAGCACTAGCAGTAGGAGTAGCAGTTAGTAGGAGTAGGAGTAGGAGTGGTGGTGGTAGTAGTAGTAGTAGTAGTAGTAGTAGCAGTAGCAGGAGTAGTAGTAGTAGTAGTAGTAGTAGTAGTAGCAGTAGTAGTATTAGTAGTGGTTGTAGTAGTAGTAGTAGTAGTAGTAGTAGGCGCCCGCCCTACCAACTACACTTGCTTAAAACCATCTTAAGAGCACATCCGTTTTACTCGGTATT